AATGCATCCATCTTTTGCTAAGAAACTTTAGCCGCTTTTCCACCGTCCGGCCATACACTAAAACTTTTTCTTGCGAATTGAAAAGTTTTGCTTGCGAGTGAAGCTGTATCTCAGTGGGCGGTCTCTACCCACCAGGATGAAAGGCCTTTTTCTATTGGTCACTCGATTGAAGTGACAGGTTGACCACGCCCACTACGTTTTCCCGCCAGTCTGACCAGTGTTGCCAAGTCTGCGGTTTTCCCGCGGAATTGGGCTACTTTAACACTGTTGGATTGTTCTTCATGTCCGCTGGTTGAAGCAACTCCAATAACATGATATTTACCCCCTGGAATGCAAATTTTAGCAGGGGCCCGCCTCGAAACTGATTGGGCTAGTTTTGGACTAGTTTTGAGTAGCGATTGGGTAGTTTTTTTTTTCTGTGAAAACCTGGCATCTGACAGAAGAGCGAGTGAGGTTGTAGCAATGGCGAGCAACGGAACGTTAACTGGCTAAGATAACTAATTTGACATTTGACAAACTCAGGGACAAGTGAATTCAATTATTCTCTCTTCGTACGCTCTCCCATCTAAATATGTAACGTTAGCTAAGCCTGTCTGTAGTTGGTGATATTGGCATCTCGCTGCGGCATCTCTAGCAACCAGAGACTGCCGCTGGCCAATTATTACATAATTCGATGTAATATTTTTTGGTTGAAAGTACATTTCATAAAAAATAATATTATATACCACATGACTGTCATTTGTAAGCATTTATCATACATTTTGTTAATAAAGTTCTGATAGCACGGTAAAGTTAGTTTTAGGTTAGCAGCGTCGGGAAAGCGTAGTGGGCGTGGTCAACCTGTCACTTCAATCAAGAGTGACCAATAGAAAAAATATGGAGTGAATAATGTGCTGAAATTAAACAAACAAATCCAGTATTTTGCAAACAAACTTGATCTGCTTTGCAAAGGAAAACTCGACTCGCAAACAAACAGAAAACCATTTGCAAATACACAGAGTGAGCAAAATTGCAGAGGTGTAACAAATAAACGTATTGTGCTTTACAATAGGGCTGCACGATAATCACGATCATATTTTTCTGTTTGTTTGCGAGTCGAGTTTTCCTTTGCAAAGCAGATCAAGTTTGTTTGCAAAATACTGGATTTGTTTGTTTAATTTCGGGACATTATTCACTCCATAAAAAGGCCTTTAATCCTGGTGGGTAGATACAGGGGTGGACTGGCCATCTGGACGTTCTGGAGAAGTCCGTTCGATGGTCGTCGGCCTGGCTGGTTCATCATCAAAGAAAAAGTGTCAAATTTAGGGGCCGTTTACACGAAAACGTTTTCAGCCGAAAGCGGGAAACTTTTGATGCGTTTTGACTGTTCGTTTACACGACAACAGCGTTTTGGGGACTGAAAACACATATTTTTGAAAAGGGGTTTCAAAGTGCAAGTTTTTGAAAACGCCACCGTTATCGTTTCCGTGTAAACACCCAAAACGGGAATCTTTGAAAACGGGGACGTCAATCATTTTCAATGATTTAAATTATTGTATCTCTGATGTTGGTTAATGGTCACATGACATGCAGGTAAACAAATAAAATAATTAATTTCGTTAGGAAGTGTCTTATTTATTTTTGTGTTATTTTAAAATTATTGATTTTATTATTATTTTTATTTATGTTGTTAATTTTAACAAATGGAATATATTTTTCTTTCTTTTTGTATTTTTATATCAATATGGTACAAGATTATCCTATTTAAATCAATGTGATAAGTGAGTAAGGTAGAAAGTAATCTAAAAGTAATCTGATTATATTATTCTAAAAGTAATATAAAGTAGTATAATCTAAAAGTAATCTGATTATATTACCTGGATTATGTTACAAACTACAATTTTTGTCATGTAATTTGGAATCAGTAATGGATTACAATTTTCAAGTAATCTACCCAGCTCTGTGTATATGTATATATATATATGTATCTTTTTTTTTTTTTAACTCTATATTGCCCAGCCCTAGTGTGTATCCAAGCAAAAGAGAATGACTCCCTGTCACAATTAGTGTAATTAAAGTAAAAAATATGATGTCAAAAATGCTTCTCTCATGCTTTTTTTTTTTTTTTCTTGTTTGTCAGATGCATTAAGGAATGCAATTGGGAAGCATTTTAAACAAGAAATAATGAATAATTCATAACAATGAATCATTCCTTAAAGTTCACTGTTGGTAGTTAGGGTTAACCTTTTTTTATTTTACTTTGTCATTTATCCATAATGTTTTAATGTTAAGTGTGATAACATGCTCTTGATTTGTATTAGATTTGTTATTTTGAAATATGTTTTTTTTTTTTATTTTATTCTATCATTCGTTGCTTTTATTATCTTTCTCGTTGTTTTTATGATTTTGTATTAGGCCTATCTTAAGTTGTCTAAGTCCTTAAAAACATATTTTTTCTTAATAAAAGCTTTATATTTAATTTGTATGGATGGATTGTCATTTATGAGAACCTGTTATATTTGAGTAAAAATAATCCTTTAGCCATTATTTTGTATCTATGGTTGGCCCCCTATTAAATTTTCACTGAGAGCCCAAGTTCAGCCTTGTTTTAGCCTAGACACAAATTCACTGTCTATTAGACGTGTGTAGTCATTCAATAGCGGTCTAATTGATGACTAGTCTATTCTTGGGCTATGATTAGACGTCTGTTAAATTTTCACTGACAGCCCAAAATGTGCCTTGTTTTAGCCTAGACGTCTGGGCTGTGTTTGGACAGCTATTAAACGTCTTTTAAACACAAAATTGCTTGCTGGGAAGAGAGAGCACATGAAGATGAAATAAAATCAACTCTGAGTCACGCATAGCCTGCCATAAATCATCAAGGATGAGGAGTCTAAGAAATATCTGACGGCGAAGATAATCGTCTGTGCTTTGCGACAAAAAACAGAACCCATTATAATCAGTGCTGTTTACACTGTGTGCGGCACGGCGCGACACGACAAATCCCTGACAGTAAACTGCTGCCTCATTCTATTTATGACGTACTGACACAAATTTCTAATTATTTGCAATGTTGCGTTGTTGCATCCCGTGTACAGTAGACAGACTTTAGCTGTCGCATCCGGTGTAGACACGGTGTTACAACAAGCAAATGGCACCCATTTGGTGGAATGGCTTAAGTAATAGGCTATTTTAATACTAAATTAATGTCAGGTTGTTGTTGTAAATGCAAATCAGTTTAACCAAACTTGAGTATCTTTGTCTTTATTTACTGTATAACTGTTCTCAATTTGTTGTTTGGGATGTAGCGCAAATGCACCATACAATACATTTATATTATATCAAATATGCGCTTATATTTACAGGACGAGTGAGACAGTGCTTGTTTAACTGTACATGCAGACACAAAGGCAGAAGGGGAATGGTATAAATCACACAGCAACTAGTGACTGAAAAAATTAGATCCAGATGCAGAGCATTTAGATGGTTTTAAGATGTCTTGAGAACAGGAACAAAAGATCAAGACCCAAGCTCTTGCTTTAGCTGGTTTCCAACCCAGTTCATGCAATGATTTTTTTTTTAAAGTGTTTTTGCAGTCTGAAATAAAATTGAAATATCATTTTGAATATTGTTATTTTAATGTGTCAATTTCAACATTTCAGTGTTATAGTCTTCGGAGGTGTATGAAAGTAGGTTAAGCAATGATCACTTCTTGGTTGTATGAATGCAAATATATGCAAGATATGAGTCAAGATGTGTGTTGTATGATGTATATGGTGTACAATAAGCACCAAATAACCTACATTATAACATATATGTTTGTCTGATGAGTGAATGTGTAAATTGATTATGCTTTTATGCTGTTTGATCTGTAGAAAATCATTTTCACAGCACTTTCCTGTTTCATTTATGGATATTTTTGTCCCACTTTCCCAAAAACATTTATAATTATCTGTTGATTTCTTTTCTAGGTGTGTCTGGTGCAGACAGAGTCTCAGTGTCAGTGATGGAGGGAGATTCAGTCATTCTACACACTGGGGTTCAAACAAACCAACAAGAAAAGATTAAGTGGTATTTTCAGGTCACTTGCATCGCTCGAATCAATGGAGATCTCAGTAAGACCTGTACAGATGTTCAGTGTAATGAAGGCACTGAGAGATTCAGAGGCAGACTGAAGCTGGATCATCAGACTGGATCTCTGACCATCATGAACATCAACACCACACACTCTGGAGAATATACACTAGAGGTCATCAGAGGTAACAACAAGGAAACGATCTTCAGTGTTAATGTCATTGGTAAGTTATGCTGTAAAGCAGGTTGTTTATGTTAAAATCACATCATTGTGTTTATTATACCAGTGATATTCAGAGCTGTTTTTCTCTTTACCTGCATCACTGAACAGAACACAATTAGATCTATATGAATAAAGACATATCCACAATTAACTTGATGTTTAGCAATTTATTTTTTCTCCTGTTTTTTAGGAAATTAATATGCATAATTATTTTCAGTTATTTTTTGTCCCAAAAAGATCCTCCAGCAGCTGTTGGTTTGTGTTTCAGGTGCTGCTGAACGAGATGAAATATATGTGAAGGCGGGAGAAAATGTTACTTTAGATCCTGCTGTACTAAAAAACCCAATTCATTTGATGACGTGGCATTTTAATAACATAAGCATCGCTGAAATCACTGAAGATCAGTCTAAGATCAGTACAGATGATCAGGTTAATAATAGATTCAGAGGCAGACTGGAGGTGAATCAGACTGGATCTCTCACCATAACAAACACCAGAAGTGAAGACTCTGGAGTCTATAAACTACAGACCAACAGCAGCAGATTCAGCATCGTTAGGAGCTTCAGAGTTACCATCACTGGTGAGTGTCATTTGTGATCATTGGTGAAAATTTCAGAACACATAATTTTTAAACTGATAGTTATTGTATTTATGGGTTTATTGACTTTTTGATAATGAAATTTGACTCTGTATTAACATTTAGATAATCTTTTAGAGTATCTACCATAATACAATATCCACGACTTCAGCGACTATGTATCGCCCATCGAGAGAGAGCCTGCAAGTGTCTTTTTAACGGGAGGCATCATCAAGTACCATGCTCACGCACTCCCTCCACATTAGAATAATTCACATGTTGAAATCCAGCGTTCTTCCTTCAAGAAGAGGGACAAAATGCGAATGGAGCTTCTTAAAGGTAGAGTAGGTGAATTCAGAGAGGCTAGCAATAGCAAGCTAGCTTTGAAAGCATAAGATCCCACCCTCCCGGCAAATCACTCCAAAGCCACGCCTCCTCCAAAACACATGAGCACCCACAGACAGAGCAGAGGCTGACCAGCGTTGGTTGAGTGTTGAATGCAGCGCTATCAGATTCACTCATGTCTCATTCACCGGAGAGAAAACATTACAGTACAAAGCTCATAATATTACAGTAATAACGCCTTCCATTCTCACTCGGTCTGCAATAGAGTAATGGAACGCAGTGATGACGAATCATGTCTGCGTGAACGGTGCACAGAGGTGTGCAAATACATTGGGGCCTTTCGCAGTGAGGGAACCTTTTCATAGTACCAGAACTAATTGTGGAACTACCCACTTTTTGGTATTTTCGCACCATCGGAACTGGGTGCGATTTTAGTACCGTACTGCCTTTTTCAAGAACCTTTTTCAAGAACCAAGAACGTACTGCCTTTTTCAGAACCTACTGCTCCGGAGTAGGGTCTAACCAGCACAACTGGTACTAATCGTGACGTAAGTAGACATTGATTGGCCAAACGCGTATGAAAACGCCCTCACCCGCCATGATTTAAAACGCTGTGTAAACATACTGTAAACATTGTGTCAACTTATTTCGCAAGTATGGAGAACAGCGATAGACGGACGGACGCTGAAGTGCAGGCACTTGTAGCAAATCTAGCACTGCCAGCCGTCGTTGGAGATTCTTAGTCCTCCTTTCCGTTCTTTCAATCGCTTTACGTATACGTCGACTTTCCATGTCCATTATTGTGAAACCCGCGAGACACAACAAAAACACAGCTCCGATCACAGCGTCCTCCATCCTCCTGTTGTTAATGTTGTTCTTCTTTGTTTCTGTTGTTAAACGCCGCACATAAATGCTGTCGCTGTTGACCGGCTTACGTCACTTCTTAGTACACGCTCTCAGTGCGAATGCAACCCTTTAAATGGTACTGGGAAATAGTTCGCGCAAAATCGTCCCGGTACTTTAGTACTGTACATTTAGTTCTGGAACTAAAGCAGTGCGAAAAGTCCTATTGACAGGTAGGTAGGACAGCCTATCGTAATCCTCGGACCAAGCGATATGATTGGATGAACATTTTATGGTCTTACACCTTCCACAGACTACTATGTTAATCCTTTACTTGTCCTCTAGGGGACGCAGTGCAAGGAATGAACTGTAAAGATGCTTGTGTACCCTATTCAGGTCCGCCTTCAGGAATACGCATCACTGTTTTCCAATGCAGGAGCCTTACATAGGGCAAGTATTACAAACAGCTATTATAGTGGGAGGAAAATGTTGTATTTTATTATTCAAGTTAGTTTTTAATTGTTTGTGTGTGCTTATTTTTAAAAGGAGACAAGGTGAAAAATAAGCTCGGGGATCTGTCAAAAGTGCAAGGATGAGGTAAAAATAATGCAGCCTATTAGTATTATGAGATTGTGCTCGATTTCACTGCAGATGTGTGTCATGTCATGTAATAACGAATCACCATCACATCAGAAAACATTACAGCATTTCTGCTCTTCTGATGAATAGCAATGGTGCACATACATTTTTATTCATCCGCTAGTCTTTACACTGACTAAATGGAGTTTATATCAAAATCATCCAGATGGAAGTAAACATTTCAGACTTGACAGATCTTCTTGAGTTACTGAAAGCTGTTGTTTTCTCTCTCTCTCTAATCTTTTGTGAATCATTGTTTTCTTACAAACAGGAAAACGTCACAAGACCCGACAGGATCATAACCGGATCGTGTATCTGCAGAATGATTCCCATCACCGTATATCAGCAGCACACTTTGTTCCACTTTAACCTGGAATAATATTTACATTTATCATTTATAGCATGCTTATTATAATAAGTGCCTTGGTTTCTGGTTATGGATTGGTGAAGTGCTTGTGGAAGGGATGTGTTTTCAGCTGATTCTTGAAGGTTGAGATGTTCTCATCAGATCAGATGAAGGTTGAATGTTTCTGGAGTGAAGCTTCTGAAAGAAACTCATTGTGATGGAACCACTAGGAGGCGCTTATTCACTGTTAAACTTTCTCTATACATTTGTATTCAATCCTACTTTTACCATTCAGTCGTCTAGATAAATTCAAAGAACAAATGCTTTATGACAATAAACTGGAAACACTCAATCCATCATTAAGCTTGAGCTTACACAGATCTAAAAGTGTATCAAACCTTTAAAACAAACTTACCATGCGTTCTCAGGACAGTCAATATCATCATTAATTTCCATTTAATATGAAGAAGATCTGTACTACTCATATTGTACTGTGAGTTTTTACTTGATTTGTCTTGCACACTTCATCAATGTACTGTATTTGCACACTACAATGTGCAAAGTGTGAAATAATTCATACGCATTGTTTTGCTTCAAAACAAACTTTGTATGATTGTGATTCAGCACAGAACTGGAGAGTTTGGTTCAAAAGAACTTATTTGAAATCTTTAAGATGAAAATTAATGGGGAAAATACTTCCATAGTTTGTGATACTGGTTGTCACTTTTGCACTTAATTTGCATGTTTGTATTGTACTTCTTTTTACTGAGGTATCAGTTGCTTTTAATAACAGAATGTGAATTTAACATGCTGTTTTAAATAAACTATTTCAATGTTTTCATGTATTTATTCATTTTTTAAGCAAATTATATTTTCAATGAAAAGATTGCTAGGTAAGCATGTGCCAGTGTTATAGTGTCTTTACTATACTTAGTACTTACAGTTTATTCATATTTTGAATTTGGTTTGATTTATATTTACTGTTTTAATTTTAGTTAAAGGTTTAGTATTTTGCGATTGCGATTTTTTTTATATATATATATATGTCAATAGTTTTATAAAATTTTATTTCAGTTTTTGTACTTCTACAAAAACTAAACTAAATACCTTGGCAACTGATTTTAAAATTATTATTATTATTATTATTATTATCTTTTGGCAAACACTTTTAACACGTCCACACCATACAGTATTTACTTAAAGCTCCTCTGAAATTGTAATAATCTGAATAATTCAACGAAGATCACAGGTCTCTGATATCATTAATGGTCACGTGACCTGCAAAACATCAAATATTTAATTTCTTTATTAAATGATTGCAAAAAAATGTTTACAATAATTTTGTTAAGTGTTGCATTAAATTAGTAATTTTAAAGTAATTCTACCTTTCTGGTGAGATATTCTAAAAATCTAAACACACTATGTTCATTGTATCACTGTCTGTATAGTTTGATCTTAGATGTTTGAAATACATTATTATTTATCTTTGTCACTTTATTACCTCTCTTTTTGGTTCACATATAATATAGCTTATATATATATGTGCATAGGCCTGGATTGGCTAATTGGGTGCACCGGGAAAAAATATTTTATCCCTTAAAACTTATCTTTGATCATCAAAATGACATATTTAAATGTTTTTTCTTGTGAAAATAATTTTCTCATGCCTTAAAATAGCTTGAATGTAACTCTACACCCTTGCCTCATTTACTATACGCGGATCTATGAATATACAAATTAGCCCCGCCTCCACTCAGTCACACAGCACCGCCTCCTGATCCACTGAACTGTAGCAACCGCAAAACAATGGCATACACGGATAATGACTGATAAAACCATGTTTTTACTAGCGGACAACTACAGTGAATACGGTAACATTCGTTAAAGTTACTTACTTGTCGATGTTGTGTCCTAAAACGCCTTGAAGACTCGAATACAGCCGTTTGTGATTGTTAATTCACACCCGCGAGCATACGCGTGTGCTCCGGGCTACTTTTACACTGTTGCCACGGGTTATAATGCAAGTGAGCGGTTCTAAATTCACATTAAACCACAGCTTCATGGGTTTTTTGCTCTGATTTATTTTTGGTTTTGTGCTGGTATTGGTATATTTTGCATGCTAGTGATAGGAATCGATCCCTTGCCGTGATTGGTTATGGGTTTGTGACGTAGCAAACCAAGGGCTGTTTCAAACCATATTTCTGGGTCAGCCCGAAACTACAGTTTTAAGGAGAAAATACTCAGCAATGGTGTTGATTAATAGATTGGCACATGGTTTGTCTAAAAGCATATTAAAAACACCACATAGACAAATAAACAACATAAAAAACTTGATTTTCACTACAGGGGGACTTTAAGGCAAGCATCCCGTATGAAAATTATAACACAGTTTGTCACGTATTCGCAGGCTTATGCCATATGACCACCAGACCCTATGAATAACAAATTCTCAATTGATAATTAATCATTATTTTTGCGCAAAATATTGTTTTATTTGTGAACGTAGCCTTTTGATGAAGACTTTAAGACCAAGCGGAATCCTCTGCCGGCTGCTCCTGTTTCATAGATGTTCAGTTGTTATGCTTTCAAATTTCTTGCCATTTGTATCTATGTAATTTCACAGTATTTTCACCTCCTAAATTACTACACTACTTGTGCAGTCACGATTTTATAATGGTACAATTTATTCAGGCCGATGACTTTTTTTTATGACATTACAATTATTTTTTGAATATAGGTTAAGCAAAACAAATGTGATTATTTCTGAGAACTTCTTAACTGCAGGCAGACATTGTGGTACAGTAGGCCTACAAATATTTTGTTGGAGATATGCGAGCAAAATATAATAGATAAAAAAATGTATAATTGAAAGATTATATTATTTAAAAAATTAAAATTAAATAAAAAGCTGAAGAAACATATAATGAATTACAAGTCTGTAGAGAACAGTGCGCTATTGCAGACTTATATACTGAAGTTTGCATTACATTATTGTAATAGCTATAGTCAGTCGTGAACTAAAGTGGGCCGCTCTGGCATGAAACTCCAGGGCTGAAAATGACTGCCACTCCGGCCCTGTATGTGCAGTATCAATGAAGCTCAAACATCATATTATACCGACTATGTCAAATGTAATTGCAGTTCTTCAAACTCACCGCTAGAGGTCATCAAAAGGAAAGGACAAGGAAAAGGACGTGATGTGCAGCCAAGTGTGGTGACCCATACTCGGAATTTGTGCTCTGCATTTCATCCATCCAAGTGCGCGCGCGCACACACACACACACACACACACTCACACTCACACACACACACGCACACAGACAATCACACACACACAATCACACATACACACCTGGAGCAGCGGCACAGTGTTGGCAACTTTTAGATTACCATAGCAACTTTTTCTTCCAAAAGCACATTGCAACAAAATTAGCTTTTTTTGGGGGGCAACTTTTAGCAACTTTTGGTAAGTGACTCAAACAAACGATAAAAATTTTCCACATTTTCCATCTAAACTACACAAAAAGAGGAAACCAAAGATGCCTAGCGGTCATGTGACTTGGTCTTTAGTCCCTAAGTCATGTGACTTAAGTTAACTGCTATTTGCAATTGTGCAAAAATAATTAGGTGTGTTTGACTTGAAGCAGCGCTGCTTCAAGTCAAACACACAAACCCTATTGTGATGCACCTTGTTAGTAGCTTGTACCTGCGATTGTTGATCAGTAAGTACACTGTAAGAAAAAAATATATATTTTTTTAAATGGAAAAGGTACTAGTAATTTTCCAGGACATTATCCATTATCTTATAATATTAGCTTCTTTCTCCTCCTGTACATCATAAATTATATATTTGCGCCTCGTTATATTTCTTTTCTGAAACAGTGTGGCTTATTTTTCCATATACTGTATAATAAAAAAATTCATTTATTTGCACCTATCTTCTTGTTGTTTTTATTGATTACTGTATTTGAAATTAAATCCATATATATATTTTCATCTTTACAGGTTAAAACTTCAAGATATGTCATTATATGTATGATATCTGTTTCTTGTCTCCTCTGGATCTGATGTCATAAACCAGAAGAATGACAGTAGCCACGCCCACCAGAGCAGAGAGGACCAATCGGATCACAGCTTCAGTAAAACCGCAGCAATGGAGGTGGACTTCTGAGGAAAAACCAATGGTAAAACAGAACTGTGGTTATCAACAAGCTGACTTTCGTCCCTGTGAGGAAACCAAAACTGAAAACATAATGTTACAAAAATGTTCTGTGAAGCAGAAAAAGATATGGGTGACTTAATTGGGTTTGTGTGAAAAAAATAACCATTAACATCTGCACTGTTGTACCTGAACATGTGTGACAGAGTTGTCTGATGTCCAGATGTTGAGTCTGGTTGCTGATGGGATTGTTGAGCACACAGCTGTAGCTGTTTTTATCCTGATATTCCACCTCCAGAGGTAGAGAGAGACTGATGCTGAGATCAGACACACTGATGCTGGACAATAAACTGTTTCCTTTGTACCAGGAGAGAGTCACATGACCCACATTCACCACTGAACACACCAGTGAACAATTCTGCTGTGATGATGATGATGATGAAGAACACTGTGAAGAGTTACTGCTGATGACAGGAACAGGCAGACGAGCTGAAAACATGAGATAATATGGATTTTAGCTATGTCATATGAGTAATCATTTTTGTAATGTGCTTAAATTATGATCTCTACTCACCATAGACAGAAACACTGAATGTTTTTGATGACAGTTTCAGTCCACTAATCTCTAGTTTATAGAGTCCAGCATGTTGAGTTCTGATGTTTGTGATGGTCAGAGATCCAGTTTGATTGTCCAGCTTCAGTCTGTCTCTGAATCTCTCATCAGGACCATCAGATGTGTTGAAGATTCCAACCTTTCTGTTCATTTCAGCTATGAGAGAGTTTTCAACTCCAAAATTCCACAGTATGTCATCGTTTTCATGTATTTCAGTAACATCAGTGTTTAGAGCAACAGAATTTCCCTCAATCACCGACACTGACTGAATTTCATTTGTTTCAGCACTAAATACACCTGTAGCATAAACAGGGCCAGATTTGACACAGATTAAAGCTCTTTTTGGTTTCCATGACTTTTGTAGTTTACCACGGTTTTCTTAAAAAAAAAAAGTGCTGCACAGGATTTTCATTTGCACATCATGTAATGTCTTTTAAATTAATCAATTAATCCGCAATGTAATATTTAAAAGTATAAAACAAATTCTGAGAAATTGAAATTCACTAGAGTAATTCTCATTAAGTCTTTGGGACCCAGAGCACTTAAATACAGAAACAAGCACAGACCTGACCTTTTTTTTTGGGTGAAGAACTGCAACTTTTATGTCACTAAGCCATAAAAATATATATGCAACTTACCAATCAGATGCCACACAGAGAACAAAACAAGCATATGAAACATTTTCTTCAACTGTTCAGTGAAAAATCGAATTTAACCCACCAAAAACACTCGACCTGTGTGATTCCTCCCCAACAGAGTTTGAGCTCCTCCTCCGACACACACACACACACACACACACACACATACACACACACAGGTTTGTTTTTATGGTTTATGGGGACTCTCCATAGGCGTAATGGTTTTTCTACTGTACAGACCGTATATTCTATTGCCCTACACCAACCCTACCC